CCAGACTCCGAAGGAACCTTGCACCTTGCTGAGATGAATCTGCAACAATGGGTTTCTTTCTAATTTCCTTGCAAGTGGCAGAGAGGTCAAGGACTTGCAGGCTGCCTCTGGCACTGCTTCTAGGATTTATCTAACTACGGATTTGAGTCGAGTACAAGGGCCAAAGTCAAGCTTCTGACACTATCTAAAAACATCGCTTATTCTGGGCTTGAGAATATCTGCAGGATTATCTTCTTATTTCTTGACTCAGACAGGGAAATCCTGAGAACTGATATCTCTAAGAGCTCCTCTGGACAGTGCAGTACTACATGGCTGCTACGTTCCTGGAAAAAGGACGCATTGTGTGCAGAGGAAAACCACTCCGGCAAGACAACCCAGGATCGACTCACTTCTTTGGCGTGTGAACAGAAAGTAAGAAAACCTGAGACACATTCCTTGGACCTCTGTCCCAGAGGCTTAGCGGATGCCACAATGAAGAGAGGGAGCTCAGTAGTTTTTTGAGGACAGAATTCTATTTCTCTCTGCAATGAAATCTGCTATTACTTCTTCTGGATATGGACTATCAACAACCCTACAGAGACAGGAACTTGCTTGTTGTCTGCTTTGACCCCAGGGCCACTCACTAGTTCCTAGTTGGTGATGGGGAAGGGGAACTGACTCAAACGGTTCCCACCCTTGGTTTCCCAGGAAGGAAAATAACCCTAAGATCTGTTATCTTTTGGCTTACGGACATTGTTCAAAGCGTAACAAAACATAAATGACGTTTCAGCACGTGACAACTTTAAATGGGCCAGGAGGGTCCTGTAAAACTTTCCTAAGAGATAAGGCCACATATATTCCGTGGGAACAGTCCAGGTTGTCACCTGCAACTTTCATGCAGTTCCTGATATGAACGGTAGATGGCACCCCCTTCCTTGTGCTTGTGAGGGTTAGGGCTCTCCAGCACTAACAGCTGGGGTGGGTGTAGAAAAACAGAAGGTTACTAGAGTTCTGGCAAAAGGATACTGAGAAACCAGTGTCAAGATTCTCAGCTTATGGAGCGAGGACAGTAGTGCTCGTTGCTTTGCAAGTGAAAGCCAGCCCATCTTATCTTCTTAGGTCTTCAGTGTCCTAGGAGAGCTCCCAGAGGAACAAAGCTGATCTGGATGACCAAATCCCTCATTGCCTAATCAAGAGCTATCAAAAAAAAGGACTTTATGGAAATCCCAGGAATGCTCCTCTCCATCACTGTCCAGGACAGTAGCTTCCAGCCACGAGTAACGACTGGGCACTTAACACAGAACCAGTGCCCATGAGGAATGCAATTCTAAATTCTGTTTGATTAAAGTAAACTTAAATTTGAATATCCCCAAGTGGTTACCACAACGAATAGCCAAAATGAGTGGCAGAGGTATCACTGATACCTGAGAGATCTCAAGCTAATGTATAGCGTATCATCCACGAGCATCCTTTATGAAAATATTTGAAGTTTTGGACATGCAATTCAATTCAGTAGGAATAAACTCTGCCATTTACCGAGGGTATTTGGTAAAAAAAAAAAAAAAGTAAAAGTTTTTTTAAAAATTGTTATTATGCAGCATGGTTACTTACTGCCATAATTTTAGTTTTTGGCTGCAAGTTCTTGAAAACCCGTGCTTCCCACTCCCCCCTCCATTCTCTGAAACACAAAGACACCGGGGGGCTATACAGTCACTTCCTTTCTCCCAAGGCTAATTTGCACTTTCCCTGTCTTGTGAGCCCGATTTTCACCCCAGAGTTTCCTAATACAACCAGAACCAACTGAATGGCTTCCAAATGCAGATGTAGCCTGAAGTGGAATAAAAATATCAACCTACGCAACATTGACTGGATGTCACTGTCAGAAGAGACATTAACAATTTGATAGACCGACACTGAGCATGGTTGGAATCCAGGCTGATTCTGTTTCTGGTCCAGCATCTTTCCAGTACCTGGGAAGGCAGCAGAGGATGGTAGGCACCTGCTTCAGCCCCTGCGCTGCCACCCAGCCTGCTCCCCTGGCTCCTGGCTTCACACTAGTCCAGCCTGGATGGCTGTAGGTATCTGGAGAGTGGATCAGCAGGTGGAAGGTCGGTCTCTCTCTGTCTTCTCTCTCCTTCCTTAAATAAATCGTGTTCTTTTTTTAAAGAAATTGTTACTGATTTTATCAGCACAAGGGAATTTCACTCTACCCACCTTACTTTCACTGCCCCATCGCCCTATCAGCAGTGGAAGACTTACCAGCAGAACTCTCAGCCTTCACGCATCTACTCCTGCACTCAGGTGCAAGCTCACGACATGACAGCACACAAAATAAAGCACTTAGGGTATAGAGGTCAAAGGGAACTAGGTGTTCCAGTCTGCACTGTGCAAGCTAGCAGGTGTCAGGAGAGGATGACCCAGCTGACAAAGTTCAGTTCTTATTATGCCCTGGACAGAAATGGACCTACAGCCCTGGGTGGGGCCAGCTGTCAGCTCAGAACAACCAGGAGTTACTCAGACCTAAGTTGTGTAGATTTTACCAGAAAAAACACACACACACACAAGGGACAATCATAGTTTTGGATAATAAAAGGAGGTGAGGAAGCAATACCCGGATTTAACACTCCCTCATTCAATCTCACACAGGCCAAACAGCATTTTCAACAGCACAGCTGGCCTCCGGAAGACTCCCCAGCATATTACAAGGGTTTCCTCATTTGCTATTTGTGGCATCAGCATCAGGAGTGTCAGTCCCTACTTCAGGGATTCTAGATGCTTCTCCCAACGGGGCACACCCTTGTAAGGACCATCAAATATTCCTCCCAAGTTCAGTCCCTCAGGAAAGCACTGGAAATTGGTCAAGCCCATCCTACTAAGTCCTGTTCCAAGTCTGAGATCTCATATAACACCCAAGGGTCTGGGTCTCCCTCGACCTCATTTCCATCCTGTTGTCTGTCTCTTGTGCCCAATTAGCCAGGAGTTGATGTAGATGACAAGAAAGAAATGTTAGTAATATCACAAGAATATATGCTGTCATGATAAATACTTAGAATTCCTGGGTTATATACACTGGAGGTTATATCAGACGAGGTGCTGGGCAGGGGGTGGGTGGGAGGGAAATAAAGCTGGCTGGGATGCACCTCCCCACAAAGCACCCAGGGAGGGAGTAGCAGAAACACGACATGACACCAAGCCAAGGTTGAAACTGGTCTAAGGGAGAAGCTCTCAGAGGATGAGCGACTTGATGGGACCACCGGAGAGACGCAGGGAAGCAGCCTTTAGTAGTCAGTATGCTGTCATCCCAAGGCAAATCAAGGACAAGATGGACACCCAGGACACAAAGCCCTCCAAGAAACCCGTTGATCTGGGACTGGTCTCCAGGGCAACACCTGGCGGGACCCCCTCACCAGCCCTGCTTCCTGCCACAAGCACACCAGGTCTTCCCTGACTCCCCATCTCCCCTGCACTCCCCTGCCTTCCAAATATGACAACCTGTAATGATAGGGCCAAACAAGCTGTCCTTTGCCTGGAAACCAATCTCAACAGGCCCAAATTTTTATGCTTCTTTCTTTTTTTAGACATCAATTCCACCTGTGCTGCAAACCCCATCTGATCAGCTGTTTCCTTCCAAATATCTGACCAGGTAATATGTTTGGCTGAATTATAAACCTTTTTTTTTCTTTTTCCCCAGAGACTGACCACCACAGCCCAATTCTGTTTGAAGTGCAGGTTCAGCCATCCCATGCCAAGCTGCTGCAGCTACTGTTTTCAGGCACAAAGAATAATTACTCACCCCATCTGAGTCTGACTGGGTCAGATGTCATGGAAGGGCACCTCCCTCCCTGATCCCTCGCCTCCTGCCCTTTCTACACCCCGCCTGCAGACGCACCCCTGACTCCCCACTCCCCACCCCCACCCCTGGGCCATGAGAGATCCTCGGAGCTAAATATAGATCCACCACACCAGCAGTTCCTGACCACCGTCACATGGCACTGCTGACGAAGGGCTCCTTGGAGACACGCTGGGCCCAAACACACAGACGTAAACGTGTGCGCGCATTCATCCCTGCACACACAGCCGGCTGGCCAAGACCAACCCATCTGAAGGCAGAGCAGGGTCGCTGCCTAGACCATCTCCCTGGCTGTTCATCACCGCGGGGTCCATCTCCATCGCGCTGTCAGAAGACTCGACTGTCTGTTGGCGTCACCTGCACCGCACCAGTGTGGTTGGCTATACTCAAAGGGTATTAAATACACGCAAGCGTGCACACACACAGTACACCCCAGATCCCTGTGTAGCTTTTTCCCACAGACCTTCCTCTCCCCACCTCCTATCAGGAGCGCTCGGACAGGTGACCCAAGGCAAGGACTCCTGTGAGCTGAGACAAAAAGCAATGCGACCCGGTGGTGTCTCCCAAGTGCGCCAGGCGAACCAGGGAGCAAAAAAGTCAGGGCTAGTGACTTCGCTTGTCTGTCCTTTGCTGAAAGTCAAACTCCGCATTTTGTGGCACCGACAAAGAAATCAACGTCCTCCTCCCACTTCCTATAACACACACACACACACACACGGAAAAGGTAGCCGGGAATTTGAAGGAAGCAACGCAGGTGTGCACAGGAAAAGAACGCTGGGTTAAGGATGAAATGCAACCAGAACTCAAGCCAAAACCTCAGAAAATCATCGACATCTCAAGCCAGGAGTCCTTGGATGGGCTGCGGGAACCAGGAGCACGCCTCAAGGTATCAGTCACGCCGGTTCCAGCTGGGGTCCCAGAGTCTGGGCCTCGCACCTGTTGGGACCGTGGCCGCTCCAGGTGCCCGCGGAGGTCGGGCTTGGGGATCTCCAGCTGTCCCGGGCTTTCGCTAGCGCAGGGCGCAGCGCTCGCCCGCCCGGCGATCTCCGGCCGCGTCGGGGCGCACCCGGCCGCAGGACGCAGTCCCACAGCCCGGCACTTCGGGCGCACAAGCTCCCGGGTCTCCAGGGACCCTGCCGGTAGAAGAACCGGGCCCGCGCGAACCACCTACCCGCAGTTGGTGCCGGGTCTTCCGCCTCCTGGCTGTTTGCCGCAAGCCCACAAACGCGATCCAAAGATTCGGAGCGCCGGAGCGCGGGAAACAGACGAGTGAAAAATCCGCCTTGGCCGGCCGGGCTCCTTGTTTATACTGAAACTACGACCGCGGCCGCGGCGCACACCCCCTACTCCTGCGCCCGCCTCCCCGCGTCCTGCCCCGCCCCGCCACACGCGGACCAATCCCGGCGCGGCTGGCCGCCCACGCCGCCACCGCCCCTGCCGCCCCGGGACCTGCCCGCGGCTCCCGGTGGGCAGGGGACTCCCGCGCGCGGGGTTCCGGGACCCACCCCCGCTGCCCAGGCCACCGCGACCCTACGGCAGCGCCGGCCGGGCGCGCCCAGGCGGAGTGCACCTGCCAGAGGCTGTTTGTGCAGCCCCGTGGACCTGTGGTGTGTGCGCGCGCGTGTGTGTGTGTGTGCGCGCGCCTTTATCTGTAAATACCGGCCCGACTCGTTGTACAGTATCTCTGGAGCTAATCGTTATGAACCGAAGGTTACAGAACGTGTAACTTTGGGGGGGGGGGGGGGAAGCAGAAGAAGGACGGAGCGTTGGCTCAGCAAATATTGTTGGAGTGCGCGGATGCCAGGCATTGTGCGCCAGGCTGGGGCGCGCGATGACCGAAGGAGTTTGGGTGCTGCCAGGGATGAAGCCCACAGTCTGGCGAGAGACAAATGGCAAGCCAAGAGCCACACAAACAACGTAAAATGACGAGTGCGGGAAGTTTCACAAAGGAAACCCAGACTGAAACGCGATTCTGGTGGCAAGGCGGGAAGCTAGTCCACAGAAAGGGCTGTGTTGTCATGGGAACCACATACTTAACTCCATCCTTGGATACTTGATAACTATTTTAGAAACAAAAAAAGCTGAAACCTAAATACCTCACCTTGTACACATAAAAGGAAGCTGAGGGAAGAAATAATGGAAACAAGGAACAAGAGAGACAAAGACGGGAAGCCTTTACAGGGTCAGCTCGCTCTCTCTCCCTCTCTTTCTTGCCAGCCATGTGACCTTGAGTAAGGAAAGTAGACTTTCTGAGCCTCTGATTATATATGAAGCAACAATGCCTATATGAAACAGCACTGTGCATACCTGGCCTAAAGGGCTATAATTAGCATGAGGGAGCTCCTGCAACTGCCCCATGGGCTCTGCCATCCTTCCTGCTTCGGGGGGCAGGCGGTGGACAGAGCCAATTTAGAGTTCACCCTGACTGTTTTTAGCTGACTCGGTGCCCTCCCGTCCTTCATATATGCCTCCTCTTACTTTTCCACTCAGTCATCTTCCCTCTTTCCTTCTGTAAATGGACCTCCCCTGGCTTAGCAATTCATGCGCTCCTGGTTGAACCACTGCTTATCTGTGGCTGCTCTGCAGGTAGAACTAGAAGACACAGAACCAAAAGAGCTGCGCAGGTAACAATTAGGCAGAGCAAGAGGGAAGGCTTGCCAGGCCTGGCTCAGCTCTCTGGCGGTGCTGGTTGGACATTTTTTTCAAGATCAGTTTTCTATCCTTATTCTGCAATAAACAGAGAATATATGGGGCTGGCATGGTGGTGCAGCACACTAAACCTCTCCTTGTAGGCACCAGCTGGATGCTGGTTAATGTTATGGCTGCTCCACTTCTGATCCAGCTCTCTGTTAGTGATTCAGGAAAGCACCACATGATAGCTTAAGTCTTTGGGACCCTGCACCCACATGGGAGACTCAGAAGTTCCTGGCTCCTGGCTCCTGATCAGCTCAGCTCTGGCCATTATGGCCATTTGGGGGAGTGAACCATTGGATAGAAGACTTTCTCTCTTTCCTTCTCTATAAAATTTGCCTTTCAAATATAAATAAGTAAATCCTAAAAAAATAAGGTATATGATATCAGGCCAGTTATCATAGAATTGGAATTTCTATTCTTGTACCTAGAAAGTTAAAGTTGATATGGGTTGCATGTTTAGCATAGCAGCTAAAACAATTCTTGGGGCACCTGTCATTCATATTCAAGTGCCTAGGTTTGAATGCCAGCACAGTTTCTGACTTCAGCCTGCTTTTTGTGTCATGATGGGAGTACAAATCCTGGGAGATGATGGCTCAAATCTTTGGACCCGTGCCACCCACTTAGGAGACCCAGATTGTGTTTTCTGCTCCTTGCTTCAGCTTGACCCAGCCTTGGCTACTACGAGCAGGAGAGGCATGAGTTGGCAGAAGGGAGATCAATGTCTTTCCTCTGTCTTTGAAACGACTGAATAAATACATTTAGAAGGAGTTGGACTACACCAGGATCTCTTAATAGACATAGCTGACATGTCCATTTAACCTCTGGATATACTCATCAACCCGATTTTCCCCCCCCAGTTTTGTTTTCTAAAGCCCTCTGCCCCAAATAGAAGATGTTTATTTCAGATTTGCAAAATGTATAAGGGTATGTCTTTTTATTTGGATTCAGTGCTTTCCCAAACCCCAGTCCTGCTCCCCATCCAGAAGAAGCCTTTCTGGCTCTTCAAGGGCCTTAAAGAATGAGAACGTAAGTACAAGAACATTCTTATGTTTTCCATTTCACTTATTTTCTTCATGCCACTCTTGAATTATGGAGCCAATAGTCCAAGGAAATGGGAAACTTAGGGCAGTTTGTCAATTGGGGAAAACAAAAGCATACGTGGCCCCACCTATCATTGAGTTTAAGTCACAGCCTAGGCCTCCTTGTTTTCAAAGCCATGGAAAAATGTCCACTCTTACCAAAAGTGGTAAGAGTGGACATTTCCTCTCTTGTAAGTTGACAATGGTTTGTAAGAATTTAGTTAAGTTCAAACATTAATAATAATCAGATGCAATTTGAAAAACAAACAAACAAAAAAAAGCAAAACCCTTTCACCATTCCTAAGCAAAGTGTGTTAAAATAACTTATATTGGACCTGTTGCTGGGGGTAGTATAATAAGCTTCCACCTGTAGCACCAGCATGCCACATGGGTGTGGGTTCATGTCCTGGCTGCTCCTCTTGTGATCTAACTGCCTGCTGATGGCCTGAAAAAAAAAAAGCAGCAGAAGATGGCCCAAGTGTTTGGGCTGCTGTGTGTTTAGGGAACCTGAATGAGGCTCCTGCCTTCAGATCAGCTCAGCTCTAGCTGCTTTGGCCACTTGGGGAGTGAACCAGTGGATGAGAGCTCTCTTTCTGTCTCTCCTCTCTGTAACTCTGCCTTTCAAATAAAAATAAAAATGAAATAAATGTTTTAAAAATAACTTTGGCCCTTGTTAACTTGTCCAATGATACATGTGAAAAACAGTCATAGTTTCTCTGAGCACCCAACTTATCTCTCCCTCTCTCTCTTTTTTTTTTTTAATTTGTAGGAAATAAGGTAACTTAAGATACTACGCAGATACCAAGCTATTTTATGTTGAAGAAAAGGAATTGTTATTTCACAGAAAAAAGGATTTAAAGTCTGGGAAGACAGTGTAACTATTTTACCGTTACTCTGCCCTGGTGGGAGCAGACAAAAGCCTGTGAGAGGGTAGAGAAGAGAGGACTAAGGTACTGGAGAACCACAGGACTCTTCGGGAGCCGAGGTGTTGGAAGTCTCTCTCTCACATGGCTGCCAAGGAAAGGTGAGCTCCTATACAAAGGCCTGCGGCAGGCCAGCTAGACCAGCCCAGCTTCAGAACTGGAAGAAAACCTTATCTTCCACCTGCTGCTGTGTACACTTTTCCATGACTTCTTTGTCCTGATTATCTGTGATGCTAGACAGAAAGGGGAAAGGAGGCTCCTTGGTATACCTTGGGTTCACCTCCATCTGCCCTTAGACCAAGTGAAGAGATCTCTGACCAGTCTTTTGCTAGGAACCATGTTGGAACTGCACAGCTGTGTGTGTGTGTGTGTGTGTGTGTGTGTTTGATCTTTCCACACTGCTATCCTTGAAATCTGATGAGAGGCATAACCAAGACAGGACATAAAACCTGAGGTATTTAAGATCCTGAGCCCATGTCCAGTGTTCTCATCCCTTCTGGACTATAAAATGAACCTGCCACTTGGAAGGTATTTTGTGATGAAACCAACGACTGAGTCAGCCTCGGAAGGGCCACTGCAGCAATAGCCTCCAAAGTTTGTGCTTGTTGACACTGTTCTTTCACATCCACTATCTCATTTAGGAAGGGGACTGGATGTGGGAGGGCCATTCAGTCCTGACAGCGGCCATTAGAGAAGGTAGATATATATTTTTCTTCACTGGGATCACTAAATAGATTATAAACAGCTACTTGATTAAACTCACTAAGCAGATACTCCTAAATAAAAGGAGTTGACTAGAAAAAATAATTTCAGGAAATCTCTTTCACACGTTCATATGATTCTTGACCACTAGCATTTTCTATCCTCCAGATGCTAAAGATGTATAAAAGAATGTGACAGCTGCGTGGGAAATTCCACAACAGATAGAGTGGGTTTTTCAAGTCCTTGCAAAAATGGAAAAAAAAAATCACTGTCTTTCTTTTTAGACAAGGATTGTGAAAAAAACAACTTCACTATTTCTTCCTTTAATAAACATTGTTATTTTATTCTCTGTAATTTCCCTCACTAGCAGTTTTATTTCTTTTTTTTCTTCCGAATAAGATAAACTTTTTCTTTAGATTTCAGGTTCTTGGCTTTTAACATAAAATCTGATTATTTGGCTAGAGGTTTCCCTCCATTTGACTAGAACAATCTATATCCCAGAACACAGAGAAGAGAAAATAAATATCAGGATAAGATTTTAAAGCTGGGAGAGATACATATGATGATTTCTTTTAACTTCCACATCTCTGTGCGACCAACCAAGGTATTTCTGATGAAAAAAAAATGAATCTCAGTGAAATGAAGTGATACATCCAAAGCTAAGAAGACAACAATAAAGTTACACACATCAAGACGTCCCTGTACTGAGCCCAGGACCTCAAGGGCTATCTATATGCCTTTATATCCTGATTGTGTCCGCAGAGATGAGTCTGTGGACTCACTCTGAAAGGACAGAAGCACAATTTGTTTTCAGGTATAAATGGCAAATATCCTCACTTTCACACCTCTTGAAAAAATGATAAAGAAGAATTCTTCAAATATTGCCAATGCCTTTTGCTGGAATCTTCC